TACATATGCCTCTACAACAAAGTATTTTTGAAAAAACACAGAAGCTAACTTGTAGGGATTCTCACTGACCAAATTTCAGCATCCTAATAATGATAGCAACAGATTATAACACATTGGAAATAGGAATCCACGAGTCCATACTGATATAAACAAAGTTTTGTTTTTTTTTTCTTAAAGGGGATGGTGGAGAGAAGAGAAAGCTCTTTCTCACAACGGGAAACAGGTAACACTATGCATAATGAATACAGAAAGAACAGTCTAATTACAAAATCACCATTACAAACAATTATATTGATAATTCAGGCAAGAAACACCAATGAATACTAGAACTAGTGGATGAAAATGGGATGAAGAATGGCATACTTGCACAGTTTCAAAGTATCTCCCCAACAAAACACCAATGTCAGGCAAAGGAAGAGGCCAACTTCACAGAGAAGAAATTTTGCAGACCCCATCTTAGTCAAGCGATAAAAGTCAACACCACCAATAAGGGAACAAATCAACAATATGTGCAACCTAATAGGATGCAATAAAAAGAATACGGCATCACTTCAGGGATTGTACTGGCACAAATGCATAACTGAAATCGGATCATGAACATCAGACAAACCTAAATTGAGAAAGTCTACAAAATGTTTGCCCTGTGTTCATCTTGCCTAAAACAGTGAGCCACAAAAATCAAGGAATGGACTGAAGAACTGTTCCAGATTAAGGACGTCTACAAAAATATGATCTACGAATTCAGAGTAGATCTTTTTGCCATAAAACACATTATCAGGGCATTGTGGGAGACATTACTGGGGTCTCTAGTTTTTTAAATTATTCTCGCAACTTTTCTATAAATTTAAAAACTGTATCAAATAAAATGTTTTAAATAGTCTATTTTCTTTCCACAATATAAAGAATTATCATGTATACCCCAATAAAAACAAAAACACTAGTTGGCATGGTTTTCCTAAATACTCAGAACCTTATTCGCTTACCAATATATACAAGTATTCTCTGCATGGGTTACAATGCAATGATTTTTTCCCTCTAAAACAAAGTTATTTTCTATTCACAAAGTCTTCAGTGAGATCATATAACAGGGAACAAACTACAGCCAGAAAGATGCTAGCCTGGAAAAGCATTAGCTTCTGTGATAACCTAATACCTGAAATGTCACTGAGGACACCCAGACATCAAGTGTAGGTACAGAAGATGTGGAAGAAGCCCCTTCTATACCACTACCATTTCATTTTTCTTCATAAAAAATGTTTTGTTTTTTATCTGTTTATGATCCACAATTCATACTAAAATGTAGGCTAATGAGAGCAGAACCTTTTTATCCCCAGATGCTAGAATACCGGACATGTACCAGTCACCCAATAAATATTTATCAAATGAATCAATATACCATATAGAATGAACACTATACCAAAAAATATCAAACAGAGTATGAGTACAGACAATACTCTCTGATCACAGAATAACTAAAATATACTATGTTGGAATCAGTATAAAATTGCTATCTATCAGGGGCGCCTGGGTGGCTCAGCCAGTTGAATGTCTGACTCTTGACCTCAGGGTCATGAGTTCGAGCCCCACGGTGGGCTCCACACTGGGTATGGAGCCTACTTAAAAAATAAAAAGTTGCTATCTCTAAGAATCTATGGGATACAGTTATAGCAATTCTTAAAAGAAATTTCAAAACTCTACTTATATTCATAAATAAGATGGAAAGAAATATAAATATCCAAATTAAAATGTTAGATTTTTTTCAAAAATGGAAACATAAGTGTTACAAGCCTTTTAGAAGACAAACTGAAAACATCTATTAAACTGTAAGATATGTATGTCCTGTGACCCAGAAATTCCACTTTTGGCAATCTATCTCATAGAAACTAAAGTACTGTTTCATAATGACATCATATACTCAGACTTATTACACCGTTTTGTACTAGAAACAGAGTGAATATTCATCAATAGGTGAACAGCTAAATTATTTGGTATATCCACATGATGGAATGTAACTTAGCCATAAAAAGATTCAAGTAAAAGTTAAACCAAGTAACCTGGAGGGATTTCCACAAGCCACTGAATGAGAAAAGCAACTTACAGTATAATATCTCATTAACAACAAATACCCCAAATGTTTATGAATATAGAGAAAAATATAGTAGAACGTACACCCAGCTGTTAACATGAATGTGGGAAACAGGGAGTCCCATATGATTTTATTCCATTTATGTAAAATTATATACACACACAGGAAAATAATAAAGTGCTAAAAAAAGATAGGGAGAATAAAGATAGAAACAAACTATTATTTTAAAAATTGAAATAAATTAAAATCAATCTGAGAACTAACTGTTCCTTTGGAGTGAATATAAACCACTGGCTAATCTAATCAAGAGTTTTCTTACACTTTTGCATTTCATATTTAGGTCTTTATTATACCAAATATTTTGATACACCAGGTCACTTTTTTTTCCTCAAATGGATAGCCATTTATTCCAGCACTATTTACTGAGAAGTTCATTCTTTCCCCCATTTGATTTGTAGTGCCACTGTTGCTATATCCCAAACTCCTGGGTATATCTAGGTTTGTTTCTAGACTCCCTCTTTCACTGTTTACATTACTATAGCTTGATAAGTTTTGATAGACAGTATACTGAGTCACTCATTCACATCTTTTTCAAGGCTACTTTTGCCATTTGGCCCTTTACTCCTTCATCGTAATTTTAGAAACAGCTTGCCAACTTCCATAGAGAAAAATCCTAGAATTTAGACTGGAACCAAACTGAATGAACATCTGAATTTGAGAATTGATATCTTCATGATACTGTCTCTTCCCAGCCAAGGATGTCATATATATGTTGCTCTTCTACTCAGGTCTTTTTAAATGTCCCTTAGAAATGACTTGCAATTTCATCTACGTAACTCTCACACACTTTAGATTTCTTCCCATTACTCCTTATAGTTTTTATGCTATAGAAAATATTTTTAAATTACATTTTCTAACTTATGCTAACAGCTAATTTCATTATACTAAACTTTTATTTTTTTTTATTAAAAACTTTTTATTTTTATTAGAACTAAACAGTTCTAATAAGTCTACAGACTCTCTTGGATTTTCTACATAATTTATCATCTGTAAATAGCTTTCTTTCATTCTATCCCTTACTACTTTATTTTTCTTGTCTTACTGTGGAGGCTGAGACCTCCATTACCAGGATGAATAGAAGCAGTGATAACAGGCATCTTTGCTTTGTTCTGATTTTAAAGCAAATGCTTCTAACTCTACCATTCAGTATAGCAAATACCCATTTATCAGATAAAGGAAATTCTCTTCTATTCCTAGCTGTCTAAAACTTACTGTGTTATGTTTAACACAGTAATTATATTTTATTAAAGTATTTTTCAGCATCTCTTTTCTCTATTACTTCTTTTGGGAAGGCAGTCCTCCATGAGTGCATCCCTGCACATCCCTGCTGTGTACTCCAAACTGTAAGACCTTGCCAACCACTGACGTTGAACAGTTTCTGTAGCTGGTCATAGAGACAATTAAATAGGTCAAGGTGACCACAGCATAACTACTGTGTGACTGCTCACTCTTAATGAAAGAAGGACTGGCCTGCTTGCTTCCTGCTTACTACAAAAAAGTAGCAAGCTCTTGACCCTGTGTTCTTGAGCTGCAGTGCATCCTACTGTATGCCCAGCCACCATCTCTGCCCACCACATCACCCTATGGGACTTGAGGGCAGGGAACGGGCACTACCATGCTGATGTCCCTGATGACTGAGGTGCTGTGAGTAATCAGCTGCCTTGCTCTGATTCACTGAATCCTACTGTCTACTTCTGGCACCTAGAGAGTTGTAGCAGTTGACTACTTTCCCTTGTATATAGGTTATTCTCTGAGAGTTGTAAGAAATCTTTTCTTTAGAGGGGGAGGGCAGTGGTAGAGGGAGAGGGAAAAAGAAAGAATCCCAAGCAGACTCCCCACTGAGCACAGAGCCTGATTTTCCATGAGGCTCAATATCACAACCCTGAGATCATGACCCTGAGATCATGACCTGAGCCAAAATCAAGAGTCAGATGCTTAACCGACTGAGCCACCACCTAGGCGCCCCCATAGGAAATCTTTAGAAAGCTCCTTTATAACTTCTACTACTTCCTTTGTAAAGTCATTAAACAAACAAACAAACAAACAAACAAACTTGAGGGGTGCCTGGATGGTTCAGATCATGATCCCAAGGTTCTGGGATCAAGCCCTGCATCGGGCTCCCTGCTCAGCGGGGAGTCTGCTTCTCTCTCTCCCTCTGCCCCTCAAACCATCCCCTGCGCTTGTTCGCTCTATTAAATAACCTAAAAAATAAAAATAAAACAAACTTGATTAAATCTGTCCATCTTTTTTTTTCCCCCTAACTATTCTATCAGATGTCTCTACAAGTAACCAAGGCTAACAACGACTGAAGTTCTTCCAAAATATGTTAATTAAGAGACACTCTGTGGGGCACCTGGGTGGCTCAGTTGGTTAAGCGACTGCCTTCGGCTCAGGTCATGATCCTGGAGTCCCGGGATCGAGTCCCGCATCAGGCTCCCTGCTCGGCGAAGAGCCTGCTTCTCCCTCTAACCCTCCCCCCTCTCATATAAATAAATCTTTAAAAAAAAAAAAAAGAGAGACACTCTGTAATGACTCAAATATTCTGAAGGGGGAAAAAAGCCTTAACCTAATTAAGCAGATACCTTATAATCCACATTACACATTAGGAATAATTTAATAATTAATTTGATGAGAATATACCAAACATTATTTTTTTATTATCAGTTTTCAAAATGCCAATAGATACAGAATGCTATTAGTGCTGTTATATTACGGTCATAAAAATGTTTGTTGCTCTCAAAATTATAAATCCTAATAAATATTTCATCTATGAGCCTTGAGATTAGATTTCAACAGCAGACATCTCAGTGAATCAAGTATCAAAGTAGTTATGGTACTATGTTTATCATTTTACCTGTACTCAGGCTGTCGACTGGCAGAATGATCATCTCTTGTCCACCTATAGCCAGATTCATCCTGTAAAATAAAAAAGTTCTTTAGATATTTGTTTACATTATTTTGGTCAAGTAGGATATATCAGTACTACTGGAAACATCTCTAAGACCAAAATAATATGAGGACAAAAACACCTTTCTAAATTTCTCTGAGCTTCAAAGGCATAAAAAAGGGGGAAAAAAGATATAGCAAATCATCCATTTCAACAAGTAATTTAGTAGACCGAGAACGTGTGGTACGATTTAGCTCTATGAAAATGCTTAAGGTATTTCTTTGGTAGGTCCTAACAGCCTTATTGCCAAAAACATGCCAACATCACAACAGCTAAGGACCATTACAAGAACAAAGGCCCAATTTAAATTTAATCAAGCATACATTTCTCGACCTTTCATTTTATTTTCCTTCTGTCAAGTTCTAGCACCAGTTTTCAAATTCAAGCCCAATGAAGAATTTACTTTCCCTGGGGTGCCTGGTTGGCTCAGTCGTTAAGCATTTGCCTTCAGCTCAGGTCATGATCCCAGGGTCCTGGGATCAAGCCCCGCATCGGGCTCCCTGCTCTGAGGGAAGCCTGCTTCTCCCTCTCCCACTCCCCCTGCTTGTATTCCCTCTCTTGCTGTGTCTCTCCCCGTCAAATAAATAAATAAAATCTTAAAAAAAAAAAATTTACTTTCCCACTTTTTTTGTTCAAGTTTTCTTTTCTCATCTTGATTCTCATTAAAATCTATAATTGGAAACAATATAATAAGAAGCTATCACCTGGGCGCCTGGGTGGCTCAGTTGGTTGAGCGACTGCCTTCGGCTCAGGTCATGATCCTGGAGTCCCGGGATCGAGTCCCGCATCGGGCTCCCTGCTCGGCAGGGAGTCTGCTTCTCCCTCCGACCCTCCCCCCTCTCATGTGCTCTCTCTCTCTCAGTCTCTCTCTCTCAAATAAATAAATAAATCTTAAAAAAAAAAAAAAAAAAAAGAAGCTATCACCTCCCGAAAAGCTATATTAGAGCAAGATGTGACACTAAGTTTAAAATTAATGGAAAAAAAGCATATTTTGTCCTCTAAAACAGATACATTTGCAAAGGTACATAAAAAAAACCACAGTAACTCATGCCCAATTGTTTTAAAATTATATATAGAATATAGAACAAGAATTAACAATACAATGTTAATTATTCACAATCAGAAATACTAAATCAGGTAAAATAAATACTACCTTCATTTTCCTCTTTAGCATCATATACTCTAACATAAGAGTAATGTATTCATCACTTTCCTCCCCAACAGTAAATATAAACAAACAAAAGAAAAAACTCAACAGCTATAAGATATTACATCAAATAAGTAGTTTTCTTTATATAACTGAACTCAAGATAAATTAGTGTCACAGGAGTCCTAAGGATATCAAATGGACTTACTTTGTTTGAAGTGAATATAAAGAGAAAATGTTGTATAAAGTAAGAATAAACACAACTTGTAACAAAAAACTAATGCTGATGCTACAAGGTTTTAGGGAAGAAATCATATTCATGAGGATTCAAATACAAATTGATCCAATGAATCCAAAATTCCCTATCCACATTAAATGGCCACCTTTGGTTTTCCTAAGAGGGATAACAACTTTATGTAAAGGCCAATATTTTTGTTCCTCAGACTACCTGGAATAATAGCTCCGAAGGCAAAATCCAGTATTTCTACAATAGTGATAATGTACAATGTTTACTTGTCAACACCAAATTCCTCTCCCTAAAGGAACAGCAAGATATTTAAAAATTGAACAAAACAAAAATCCATTCTAAGAGAAGGAAGCTATGCACCCCAAACTTTAAAATGACAAGAAAACACTGAATAGTCTCATTACTACTTTAGAATTGTCAAGGATCACCATGATGCAGTAGTAAGAGAACTGGACTTCTACACATCCCCAACCCTGGGTAAATCACCTTACCTCCATTTCTTTGAGGGCAAAGTATGGAAAGTAATTCCAACAGCCAATGTGAGGTCAAATTTTAATATAAACAGTGTTTGAATATGTACTGTTAATTGCAATATTATATAGTAGGGAAGGGGAAGAGAAAATATAAGTAAACAGTCTAGCAGAGGAGTGATGTAAACACACAAGCTAAGTCAAAGGAACTGCATCAAGGAATAGTTGTAATTAAGTTCAATGACAGATTATTGCAACATTAAATACATACTTCTAGATTATTAAAGATGATCAAGAAAAAAATACAATAGCAACAATAATGGTAATAATAGAAGCTAACATTTAAAAAGTGTTTATTTTATATAGGACAGGCAGTGTTTTGAGAGCTTTCTACTTTGAGTTACTAAGTAAACTTTAGTAAGTATAACAAAAATGACACTGAAGCTCAAGTGTAACCCAACCTCACCCACAGCATCTCATCATGATGAAAATAATCAAAGAAATTATAAGTGGATACATCCAGTAAGAGACGGTAACCACCTGCTGCTCATCACTTACTGAGTACCAAGGCAATGTAGATTATCTTTATCTGCTTTGCAAATTCTTGCCAATTTCGGGGATAAAAACACAGGCTAGTTGGAATTAATGTCACTTAGATAGAGCTACCCAGAGTGGCTTACCCACTTTGTCCCAAGATTCTCCATTACCAGTTCCCATTTGACAGCTCTAGCAGGCAACTCAATAGAGCATCAAGCAGGAAGTGTTTATTCAACTGCCTTCATGGCCAGTCACATAAATTTCAAAAATTACATGATTTTTAAACTTATAAAAAATAACAATTAGTACACGGGGGAAATTTACATACTCCTCTGTGAGGTGGACCACTTCTTCGATCATGAGAAAAACTGCGGCCCTCGTCATATTCTTGGTAATCAACATGACTGTAATATCTACTGTAGCTTCCTTCACCAGGTCTGTCTAGCAGTGATGGTTTCTTTGGCACAATATTAACTACTCTATGGTAGCCATCCTAAAACAGACAAAAAGAAATATATAAAAATCACTAATTTCTCTATTTGGTTTTGGAAAGGTTTTTAAAAAGTACAGGAGTTCTTATCCTTAATCAAATAGAGTAAATGTATAAACAAACAAAAATGCATTAATGAAATAACATGAATATAACTAATAGCAAGGTTTTCACATGGATTAAAGGAAATAAAACTGTCAATGAAGAAAGCCAGGTGTTTAAAATAACAAGCAGCAATGCTAAAAACCAATCATAAATAAAAGAAAAAATAGAATGTTATTGTTTTAATAAAAAATAAACTACAGAATGTTACAGTAGCTCTAATCCTAATTGCCTAAGAATTTTAGAAACAAAACCATTTAAGATAGCACACATCTTTAGTCTACTGTGTTTGAACTATACTGTTTTGAAGAAATACAAAATCTTCACACATAAGGAACAGCAAATAGGGAGGTAATACTAAGCTAGGCCATCAAGAGGAAACATTCTGCTATTTCTCCAGAAGCACTGGAGAGAAGAGAGCCTTTGATTTCACAGGTCTGGAAGCAAAATAAAACCTGATATAAAATTTGAACTGATTTTCCAACTAATATGTGGTTAATATTTTAAAGTTTTAGCAACTAAATGGATTTTTTTGTGGGGTTGGGAAATTGGACAGAGGGAGAAGAATACCTCTCTTGGGTTAGTAGCTGCTGTGAAATAACTGAACAAAAAGATGATTATCAACAGTAAGAACTAGAGAGCTACAGAACATGTATTTGTAAATAATCTGGGCTTGAGCATATGTCTTTCTACCAATATCAGATGAAATATATGTGAAAGAAATTAGAATGCTATCAAAGTATAAGACATGATCAATTTAAGTTAACTGATTTGACAAAATAAAAAAATAAAGCCCAACATTCAGGGCATTACTATTCCATCTTTATGTCTCAGTTTCATTATCTGTACAACAGATTAATACTAATACCTACCTCAAGGAGTTGCTGTGAACTAAATGAAAAACAGATTGTAAAGCATTTAGTACAATGTGCAGGACACATTAAGTGCTCAAAAATGTTTGCTGTTTGGATTACCTTTTTCAAGTCTAGGTGAAACACAATTCCTCAAAGTATCTATTTCCTTAAATTACTTCTTAGCGTTAATAACTACAACTATTCAATTATTAAATTACTGTGTCCTATTCAAATTTCCCAATGGGTAGCAAATTTATTAATGTGCTGAGAAAAAAATAAAATCAATAGTTACAACTATTTGAGAGCTAAAAGGATCTACCTAATTTTTTCCTATAAGGTGGTTTCTTTCTTCAGTATGTGAGATATTACATTGTAACACATATTTTGTATGTTGACATAAAACATAATAGACAAATGAACCCATTGACTCTGTCTTGTAAAAACTGTCTTTCAGTTGAGATTTCAATTAAATCTAAGCAACCATTGAGCCTCTAAAAAAATTCAACATTAAACCAAAATTGGCAACTTTATAATTTATATCATTTTCTAAATCAAAATTTGTTATTCATAAAATTAGAATCACTTATTTCTCCAATTCCAAGAACCATAAAATTCCATCCTACAATATCCTTGTTTATTTGTATATATTTATTTGGAGGGATAGTGGGGTAAGCATGCATGTCTAAACATTTTTATGAATAGAGAGATTATTTTACAAAGCAACCTTTTCCTTTGTTCAAAGTGATTTTAAGATTGTAAAATGCATATGGTGAAACTTTCAAAGAAGAAAACTCACATCACATTTAGTCATAGATTTAACAAATTGTTTTTTCCAAATAATAAATGAAAACAATCATTCTGTTGTTAATCAGCAACAGAAAGAAACTCCTAATGACAGTTCTGTATCTAGCAATGAAGATCAAACACATTTCCTTTGTTTTGAAAATATTCAAATATAAGTACCTTATACCATCTCACCTCTATAGGCATCTATTCTTTTTTTTTTTTTTAAGAATTTTTTTTATTTATTTGCCAGAGAGAGAGAGGGGGGGAGAGTACAAGCAGGGGGTAGTGGCAGGCAGAGGGAGAAGCAGGCTCCTTGCTGAGCAAGGAGCCCGACATGGGACTAGATCCCAGGACCCTGAGATCATGACCTGAGCCGAAGGCAGACACTTAACCATCTGAGCCACCCAGGCGCCCCTTTAGGCATATATTCTCAAAGAAAACTCCCTAGTTATATGAAAAGATTTAAGGAAATGAGGATGACTATAGGAGTCTGTGATAAAGCAAGACTATATTATCAGAAAGTTCCTATCTTATCCAGGTATACCATTCAAGGATTTTTCTTTCCAATTAAATCCATGATGGGAGGGAAAGATTTCAGAATATTTTTCAAAAGCTTTGTTTATAAAAAGTTCAAACAGTACTTTATATTACCTGCAATGCCAGACCTGATTGGAAACACGTGAATTCTCATACAAATTTACATTGAGCTATAAACATGTAATTTTCCTTTCTAAATGCTAACAGAAGGACACAAGGCTTCAGGTACTTATATGGTCGGAGCCTCCATTTTAGAAATACCTTGGAAAACAATAGCACCATTATATACAAACCAGAAATAAAAATTATGACTTCTAAAGAATATCTTAAAAGATTTTTAAAGATAACAGGATCATTTTTAATTAACTTAAAAATGAACTCAATAGAATCAAAACATTTCTCTTATTTAAAATGCAGATATTTCTCGGCGCCTGGGTGGCTCAGTTGGTTAAGCGACTGCCTTCGGCTCAGGTCATGAACCCAGGGTCCTGGGATCGAGTCCCACACTGGGCTCCTGGCTCAGCAGGGAGCCTGCTTCTCCCTCTGACCCTCTCCTCTCTCATGCTGTTTTCTCTCTCGCTCGCTCTCTAATAAATAAATAAAATCTTTAAAAATAAATAAATAAAATGCAGATATTTCAAATCTTGAGTTTGGACATAAAATTTGAATTCACCTCAGTGAAATCAATTTTCATTGCTTCTGTTTATTATGAAAAATATGTACAGTATACCATTAAGATCAGACTATTATCAACTTAATACAACTATTACATATTTATACTATGTATCAATTTTTCATGGCTGTTACTAGAATTTCCAAAAATATGCATAAAATCTATCAGATCTGCTCCTCCAAAATTAGTATTAATGTTTTATGATCAGTCAGACCAAAATAAAAAAGTACATGTAACTCATTTAAAAAAAATTTTTAAGCCCATTTTACTTAATCATTGATCTGTTCTGGAAGAATATAGAAAGCAACAACTTGCATATAAATTTAAATACTTTTTTGAGAAGTTATAGGTCAATGAAATTTACACTTTCTCATAAGTCACTATCTCAGGGGTGAAACAATTCCTACCATTAGGCCCACTGAGTTTCTGAAATAAGGACTGTTCAGTTTGCTTGTGCTAATGAAAATCTCATCAGGTTAAGATACATATCAAATTAGTTTTGCAATTTTTAAATCTGAAATGGTGATCATGTTTTGTTACAAAATAAGCAATTATTTCTTAATTTGCTATAAATTCCAATTTAGTAGAACTACCTCTTATGAGAAATACTTTCATTTCAGTAAGTAAAAGCACCGTTTTGTTTCATTCAATATTTAAAAGTCAAATTTTCCACACTAATGTTTAGTCTCACTCCTAACTGGGGGCAAATTACGAGGATTAGCGCACTTCTTTAAAAACATTTCTTTCCCAATGTCATTAAAATATACTTGGCACAAATTCTAACAGAAAAACATTTTATTTAAAGGAAAAATTTTAACATATAAGCTCCTCCTGTTAAGCATCCTTATCATTTAGAGACATATACTAAAATACTTATTGGCACTTGAAATAGGGTATCTTGGGGGCGCCTGAGTGGCTCAGTCAGTTAAGCGTCTGCCTTCGGCTCAGGTCATGATCCTGGGGTCCTGGGATCGAGCCCAGGGTCCTAGGATCGAGCCCGGCATTGGGATCCCTGCTCAGCGGAAAGCCTGCTTCTCCCTCTCCCTCTGCCTGCCACTCTGCCTATCTGTGCTATCTCTCTGTCAAATAAATAAAATCTTTAAAAAAAAAAAGAAAGAAAGAAAGAAGTAGGGTATCTTGGATTTACTTCAAAATAATCTGGGAGAAAAGAAACTGGGGGAGGCACAGACAAAACAAGATGGACCATGAGTTGATAATTGCCACTTGGATGATTCATCCATGGGGAGTTTATTTTGTTATTTTGTCTACTTTTAGATCTTTAATTTTTGTTATTATAATAAATGAAAAACTATTAAAACTCACTAACCTACCAGCAAAGTAACTAAGTATGATAGCACATGTAAATAGTTAATGCCATTATTCCCTAAAATAATCAACTTAGTATGAATGCAAGCTTCATGGGCATAAAACCTTGGTCTCAATTCACTGCTCTATTCCCAGCACCTGGAACAGCACTTGGCACATAGTAGGCACTATATTCGTAACACACATTCTGCTTCGCTATATCAATTTTATGTTACTTTTGGCATCACATGCTTTTTATTAGAAAAGTACCACACAAACCACACATAACTAAAAAAATCTACTACACAGACTGGCGGACTTCTGCTTTCGAAATCCTAAGGTTCCCTCACTCTGCTTCCTCATATTTTGTGACATGCATTTCTATAATAGCACTTATTCATTTAATTCACTCACTGAATTTTCAAAGAAAATGGTTTTGCATTTCAATGGCATTGGGGAATAATGGATCAAATATGTGAAACTGGAACTGCCCCAGAAAATCAGGACATTGTTACAGAATGTAGCCAAGAACTCCTCTTTCCTCTCTGGAAATAATGACAATAAAAAGAAAGTTAAGTTCTTGCAATTCTGTCAGCCAAGAAGGTAAAACACCTCCTAGGGCAGCTCTACATAAAATCAAAACTCAGCAGATGAACACTTAAGACTTTGTATTTCATGTGTGTAATTTTCACATTTAGAAAAAGCTGTAAAAAAAAAACTGTACTTTTATGATATGTATACCTATG